GGGATTGCCCCGTTACCTACACTCATTGCCTACCAGCCTGATATTGCTGGCTTAATCTAATTTCTAATCACCGCCTTGGGCTATCGATCACTAATTCCTCTCTTAATCTCCCACAGCTTTCGACCTTGGAAGACTTCCTCCACTGCGCGTCCGGCCTTGTCTTGTTTTCGTTGCTCGCCCTTCCCCAGCTACCAGGCATTTCGTCTTCACGCTGGACCACGCTCCTTCATCAGATTCCAACTTATTTCCGTTCCTTCGCTCTTAATCACTTAATCTCGACGACTGTCACTCTCTTACCTCCGTCGTGACCTGTTCGACTCCTCGTCTTTCAGGTTTCTTCCCGGACTTCTTTGCAAAGCTAATCAACTCCCGCCTATTCCCGTTCTCTCCCTATCTTCGACCTCCGTCATGGATTACATTCGTCCTCGTTCTGGCTACCAGCCGTGTGACACCTTCTTTATTGAAGATGACTATCGGATGCAGGCTGAGAAGCAGGCCAAACAGGAGCACGATAAGTTCGTTGCTCGTGAGCGGCAATATGCTATCGCCGACCAGCTATCTCGAATCACCAGTGCGGAGTTTCGTGACGATATCCTGCAGCAAATGCTGGAGATGGATGTGAGTCGTTCTGACGTTATCGTATCCATATTACGATTTTTTCTGACGTACTGTCTCGTTTGTTTAGGGCCAAACTCTGCCTGACGTGGAGTCGATCGATATTCAGACCGAAATCCAGTGGTTCATGCGTCCTTACCTCCTTGACTTCCTGATTGAGGCCCACACTGCCTTCCAGCTCCTGCCTTCGACTCTGTTCTTGGCGATCAACTTGTTGGACCGCTACTGCTCCAAGCGTGTGGTCTACAAGCGCCACTACCAGCTGGTGGGCTGCGCCGCTCTCCTCATCGCCGCCAAGTACAATGACAAGAAGGATCGTGTCCCCACCGTGAAGGAGTTGAAGTCGATGTGCTGCTCTCTCTACGATGATGACATGTTCATTCAGATGGAATGGCACGTTCTGCAAACTCTTGGCTGGTCCGTTGGCCACCCGACTGTGGATGAGTTCCTGTCAATTGCCATCATGGACGGGCCTCCTGACGCCGAGGCTGAGCACATGGCTCTCTACATTCTGGAGATTGCCCTGTTCCACCGTGACTTTGTGTCCACTCCGTCGTCTGAGCTCGCTCGTGCTGCCTTGGCTCTCGCTCGTTGCATCCTGAACCGAACCCAACCTCGCCACACGGACTGGGCTGCCCAGTATGACTCGATGACTCTCGTCGGTCTCTCTCAGCAGCTTCACCAGCCGTCGACCGTGGTTGCTCGGAAGTATGCTTCGTCCCACTACTCTCGGGTTTCCAAGATCCTGGAGAACTTCCTCAGCCGCCAGGCTTCTCTGGCTAGCCATGCCCGTTGCACCCCTCCGGTCGAGACTCCCGTAGAGTCGAAGCCGTATGTTGGGGAGATGGGGCTGGCTACGCCTCAGAAGTCCCAGCAGCTGACGGCTGTTCCCCATGGGTACATGACGCCACCCATCACTCCCGAGAACGGGCCATTCGCCGCACAGGCCCAGATGGCGGCAAACCAGGAGATGGTTCGAGGTGCACCAACCTCTCACGGTTGCTCCCCGTCGCCCGCGCCCGAAGCTGAGATGCAGTACATGCACACCGACGCCTACCAACAACAGGAAGCTATGTACCTCGCTCAGCAGTCGCAGCAACTCCCGCCGTTTCCACCTCATTCTCAGATGGCATGTGACCCAAACTATTCGGCTGTGATGTAAGGGAAGACTAAAAGTCAGGACGACAGAAGAAAGCTGTCGCCATCTTTCCAACGAAAAGTATTGGTGTCATGCACATATTCAAAGTCCCACCTCCGTTTTCTCGATCTCGACCGCATAGAACACTAATCAAAAAGGAGCGTCATGCTTTTTGCGTTGTTTGATTTCAACGTTAATAACATCATCAATCCTAATAATCACGATTCTATCGCCGCCATCTCGTGTTTGTCGATACTGTGCCATCATCACCTCGAACCTATATTCATCTATCTGCGCCATCTATCCACCTTTTTTCTCACAACGCTTTGCATACGGCTTCGGTCTGCAGAACCGGAGTCGAAGACCAGCCTTTCGATTCGATCTTCACATTCTTGTTCCAAAAATTGCATACCCACATCTCTCTTTTATCTTTATCCCCCCATCTTTCCTGGGTCACCATTTGCATTCATTCTCATTCCACATAGCATTGCAAGAGCGAGCCATATTGTGTTTTATTTGATATTTTCCCATTGCATCCTTACCACTTCCCCCAATCCCCCCTATCCATATCACAACTTCACTTCGCATCTCATATCGAGTAGGGACTTTCCAGTCCCTCTCAATATTCTTATCCTGCTGCGCGCCCGCGAGCGCTGCGCCTTTGCATATCTCCAACTCCTGACGATCGTTACACAGCACAAACTGTTTGCCCCCAAATACAAACCCCCCCCCCTCCCCTCTTCCCCTCCCAGAAAAGGTCTTTAATGTGTCTGGATCGACCCTTTACTTGAACCCACAAAGGTTGGTAAATGGGAAGGCCGCACACAAAAAAAGCAAAAAAAGCACCAAAACCGACAAAAAGAACTGTTGATGTCTCCTGGGGAATATTCACCATGGGCAACGGAGACCCAAGATTGATACTTATCCCCCCGCTCCATATCCTTACTCCCCTGTTTGCCTCACCAACACCCCCTTTTATCTTTATGTACCTAGCTTTTAAACATGGCCCTGATCTTGTCCACTACATCGTGGAGAGTGAGGAAGCTTTTTGTTGATTTTCTGTGTGGATTCGAGATTGCCACATGGCCCACGAATGAAATACATTTCTGTGGTTATTTTTTATTTTGGCCGTATTATTCTTGAGAAGGATGTAGACGAGTACTCGGATAATCCTCCTTGTAATAACTTGGAATAGACATAACACTTTGGTTTGGCCAAGGTTCCAGTGCACTCATGTGTGAGTGTTGGTGGTTGTAGGAAGTGGATGCTCCTTTAGCTTGAACCTACCCTGGATTTTCTATACAAGTAGGAAGACCGTACCTATACCGGTGGACTTGGAAAAACAACCAGTGGGAATATTCAACACATTCTTTAATTGGGTTTTTATTTCATTGCTGTTATAGGTGAGTTATTGCTGACTCTCGATCATGGCTACATGTAGGTATAACCAGTCATGGTTAGACGGCCCGAGAGAATATATTCTCGCCCGCCGATCCGTCTGTTAAGTGGGTGCGCCAATTTCCGTAAACACCGACACCCCTCCCACTACCTATCTAAAATTTGCAAAAACTAAGTCTGGTGGGACTAACCATTGGGTTCCAGTACCTAATCTACCTTTATCATACCATCTACAATTAACCCGACTTGGCTCAATGCCTGGGACAGACCAACCTAGAGCTTCCCCATATTTCGGAAATAGGTAAACAATCTATGTGGGTCTGAGAGCTCTCAACCATGGGATTGCCCAATCAGCCACCAATCAAAACGCCGTATCTCCCAGAAACTCCAGGACCTAACAGGAGTAACCGTGGATCACAACGTACCATCGAGTCTATAGAAAGAGGAGACAACAGTCCCAATAAGCCAAATAGTAAAGAGGGTCCTATCTCCGACCGTATTGAATTCAATGGTCTCAATATTCGAGACAAGATAATCAGTAGTAGTATTCCAAATTTGTGTCCAGTAGCACAGATAAAAAGTTCCAAAGACAAATTCCGCTCATTCGCAAAAGAAAAAAAACCCCCCCAGTAAAGTAGCCCAAACCCAATTTCTCCACGCTATGCATCGCAACCAAAGCAACAAGATAAAATAACACACTACACCTCGGCAGGGTAGGTTAGAAAAAAAAACAGACAGAACTGGGGGATGTTTCCATCCAGCGCTGGACACCTGCAGGGTTACTGCAAGGTATGTGCGTAAACATAATATGACACGTGTAACGCTCCCGGAGGTCGATAAGGTCGAACCACTTGGGTGCATGAGGATGATAAGTGAATCGAAGAAGTAGGAGACAGGGGGAGGGAAGAGTGATCGGTGTGAAAAGAGTGATAGAGTTGGGAGAGAGGAGGTGTAGAGAGTGGAAAATGAATCAAACAAAAGCACCGAACAAATACAGAGTCGAGAGTGTAGGTTGCAAGCAAAGACGCCAACGAAAAAAGAAAGCAAAAGATTGCCTGGAGAGACGCCAAAAAGCCCAAGAACTCCAGATAATGATACAAGGGGAAATGGGAGACACCATGTAGGGGGGATAGGGAAGGAAGGGGGATCCACATCTTCCCCGGCGTGAAATAAATCCGGGGCAGAATAGGCAAAAAGAGCAAAGGGACACGAGAAGGAAGGACAGGAATCCTCCCCAATAATCGTAGCAAGCAGGCCAGTTGGCAATGGGTAACTGGGCAGACCCAAGCCAGAAGGAAAGGCACGGGGGGCCCAGACCATCGGAGGGTCGGTCAGGGGGGAAAGATGATCGCGGGTAAAGCGGTATGGCGAGACGGGCATAGCGGCATAGCGAGCATAGCGGTGACGATAGGCACGGCTGGCGCCCACTCATCCCTTCTTTTCGGGGCGGATACTTTGGACACTAGATAGACCCTCCCAGTGTCCCCAAGTAAACCGACCAGAAAGAAAAAAAGGGGGGAAAGTTGTCCGGGACCAAGGCCTCTGGCTGATTTGCCATTCGCCAGTAAATGAATGCAGTTCCACCGCCATGCCGGCTTGCCAGTGGCTTGTTTCCGGCAAGTCCTAGTTGGCCGCTTCCATAGTTCCTCTTTCATCGTAGCTGTCATTCGGATGTCCTGCACACGTCGTACGGTCAAGGACGAAGTACGCCGTAAAGCCGCGCGGATAAATCGGGGTTGGCTGGGCTGGAGTCTTTCCCCAACTTGCTTGCTTGCTTCTTTCCCTTGGTGCTCTGCCTGTCAGATCTCCATCACGCTACCATCCCCCCAGATTTGAGGCCGCCGGGATGTTACTTCCAGCGTTGTTTGTCCCAGTCAGACGGCCTGGTCTCGTCGTAGATCTGGCCGCCTTTATTATGGACAATGACGGGAGGTTTGCGAACGGGATTGGCGGCTGACCGGGGTACGCGTCTGAGTTAGCCGGGCTGGATCTAGAGATCGGACTGGGACTGGACGGATTAAGCTGATGCTGGATCGACAACATACCTCGGACTTCTGTGGCAATGACTTGGTCGCTGGTGCTACTAGCGCTGGCCAAGGTAGAATTGGAGTCGTTGGTGACTTTGTGTGGCATGGTGGTATGAATGGATTGACGAAGAGTAAAAGGGAAAGAGAGAGTCCAGAGGGTCCGAATTGGAGAGGAGTTGGGAGTGGACAATTGACGAGGCCGGCCGCGAGATTGGATGGGTGTATGGGCTGATGCAATCTCGAAGGGCAGGCAGTGTTGAACTGTGCGCTAATGAGATGTATAAAGATGAGATGTAGAAACGAAGTTAAAAGGACGACGAAGTTGTAGGGAGGGTAATTATATAGAGTATTGATGAATAGATGAATAGAGGTTATAAGATAGTACAAGTATAGTGAAGCTGAAAAGAAGAGACACAGCAGCAGGGCTTCTTTTTGTATACCCCAGGCCATTCCCAATTGAGCGCTGCATCTGATCTACAACTCCGGGGAACCGTGAACCGTATCGTCGCCAGGGAGCTCTGCGGCGTTCGAAAAGGGAATGGGAATGGATCAGCCCCCTGACGTATCAAGAGTATCGATGGTAATGAAGTGTAATTAGGGTACGTGGATGGTATCTGGTGCCTGGTAATACTGGCAGTATCGCCAATTGATTGGCCATGATACCAGGTCCAAAGCAGGGCAGCCAGTCCGAAGCGATGAAGCGATACGAAGTGGGCTCATCGTACGTAGTGGGCCCAATAATGATGAGTCAGCCATTCCTCCAAGAATAGTTAGCAGTTGGCCGAGCTGCTCCCGAGCTGCTGCCGCCTTTTGCTGCTGTTCGTTGCTGTTGGCTGGCTGGCTGCTGGTGCAATCAAGTGCAAATTGTCAAAGGCTGCCCCATTCGACCATTGGGAGCCTGGCGACTTCGCTAGCAGCAGCAAGAGGATCGAGGATTCCTCAGCCTCACCGCTGCCCCCGTCCCACCAATCACCAATCTCCTAGCTCTTTCATAGCAGGGATGCCTGACTGGCGTAAACGGCATAAAAGGTGATGTCAATTATGATCCAGGGGCCAGGGGGAAAGCTTCACCGACTGACGCCCTCTGACCCTCCACAATGCTCCCCTGGTCCACTCTGGTCCAGAAGCCCTCTGTCCCAGTGTCCTGGCCCGAAGGCCATTCATGGCCCCCGTTATTGGTGATCATTGCGATTAGAGCGCGAATTCGCGCCAATCGCAGCCGCCATGCCCCCCCCGGAAGATCGCCGATCGTTTAGTTCCGGGCATTAGGATTTCTCTAAGACACTGGCGTCTGGCGAAATGGAAGTTGGGGTGGCACAAGATCAGCTGACTCCTGCAAAGCGAGGACTCCGTTGCTGGGTTGCTTTTTTGTTGGGTTGCTAACTATATCGGTGATCGTGCATTCAGAACGCATAGCGCCAGGAGAGACGGATGTACGTCACTCCCCCAGACCAAAGATCCCCCTGCGGAGTCGAATCTCCTGTAAAGTCATTGGGCCATGGGGCCATTGGACTATTGCGTGGACTTATCATCTGTTGGTGGATGAAGCAATTGCAGTCCCCTTCCATTCCCTTTCCTTCCCCACTGGTCCACCCAAGTAGGACACTCACTTCTCCTTCAATCAAGGAGCAGCCAGAATGAGCACAATGAGGCCGCGAGACGTGTATCATATGATATGCTTCACAGGCCACTTCCAGAATTCTAGACCCCGTGTCCGCTTCCCTCGTCCTCTCAGCGCATCTGATCGCCACTACCGCCGCTTCTCTCCCGCTTCATCCGTTCCTCCCATCCATTCATACTACGTCGAATACCTAGCGTCCGGCGCCCTGTCGCCGGCGGGGCTTGTTGGCGGACCTTATCCATCGTAGTGGTGTAAAACGTCACGGATCGGACACCGCTGGTGGACCTCTCCTGTTTCACTTCGCTTGTCCCGGTTCCGGTCTCCGCACCTGCTGTGCTATTGACATTCCCTTGCGCTGGTTGTGATGTCAGCGTTCGGGCAGGTTTCATGGCGTCAGGTCGGGACGGAGCCGCCATCCACGTGTAATTGCTGGGCTCGGTAGGTTCAAGAACCGGCCGAGAGGGATGAAGTGGCCGTGGCTGGAGACGGTGGGAAGAGAGCGAGGGTGGCACAAAGTTGACACCTGACCGAGAGTTGTTCTGGGGAGTCAGCTGGTTTCTCGTGGCCGACTGAGCTGGCGGACGGGTGGCTGGGACAGGCTCTGACTTTTGGGCAGAGGACCCTGGCCCGCCAAAGAAGTTTGAGATGCTGGCTTGGGTGAGGCCGTCTTTACGGTTGACGTCACCAGGCGTCTTTGCTTTGCCTGTTGGGCCGGCTCCAGTCGTAATCGAGGATGTCGTGGACGACGTCGTTATATCCTGGTTGGCAGCCGGGTTCACGGCAATGTAGTTTCGAGCCGACGTAAAACCCCCTGAAGACATTGTTGTAGCAACCAGAAAGTTGGATGAATTGCCCATGGTATGATTGCCCGCCGTCGTCGGCCCATTGCTGTTGGGTCGCCTTCGTTTTGGATATGGCTCTTGTATTGGGTCATTTGGGCCTTGCTTGCCATTCCACTCGATGTTCTCGTCGCGCACTTCCTCGCCTTCGCTAGTCCACTTGTCATCCAATAAAGAAGGCAGAGACGCGAGATCCTTACACATGTCCTCGGGCGACGGTCGTGGCCGGTGCAGAATATCAGACATTCCATATACAACCTTCTCATGGAATTGAGGGCCTTTCAGTCGAAAGCGTGTCTTGACCAGATTGGGCGGTAGGAATGGCGTCAAAGTCGTAGATCCATCTTCCCCTTCGCCCATTCGAGGTTGTTTCAACGGGAGACTCAAGTATAGAAGCGCTTGTGCTCGAGTCATTGCAACGTATAACAAACGTCTTTCTTCATCGACCACTTCAGCTCGCGAGTGTGGAATACTGCCGTTATAAACGGCAGGAATGAAAACAACAGGCCATTCTAAGCCCTTGGCGGCATGAATCGTCGATATCGTGACATACCCCGAGCCTTCCTCACCCTCATCCTGTGTTTGCGCCTCCGTGGCCAAGGCGACATTGGCCAAAAACCGTGACAGGGCCTCTTCCCCCGGATTGGATTGTTGCTGCTCAACGCCTTCGATTTCGGGTAGGTCTTCCTCGAGATTTGCCTCATTCTCGGAGGCTGCAGCATCGTTAGCTTGGCCCATCAGCTCTTTGACATTCGCCCAGCGACCGTCTTCGTCCAGCGGGTAGGTCTTGAGCAGATACTCTTGGAATGAGAGGCTGTCGGTGATGTACTCCAGAAGTACACAAGGGGCGGTTGCATCTTGACAATCCTGCAATTTTTGCTTGGATGCCTCGATCAACTTGACTAAAGAGCAAAGTCCTAGTTCTGCGGCTTTTTGTAATTTTTTCTCAGTTGATCGACGACCTTGGATCACGTCTTTGATGAAGGCCCATAGAGTAACTTGAGCCTTTTCTGCACCACTGGTCAACTGCTTGATAGTCTCGTCACCGATTCGCCGTGGGGGAACGTTAATGATACTCAGCAGGGCATCCGAATGGTCTGTATGGCTCACAACCCGAAGATAGTTGAGGAGAGTCTTCACCTCCGTTCGATCGAAGAACTTGCGTCCTCCTACCATCTTGTAGGGAATTCCTGCTCGGCCGAACGCTGTCTCGATACGGGTTGACAGCGAAGCAGACCGAAGGAGAATCGCAAAATCAGACATGCGCAACAAACCACCCGTCATCGCCACGCTTCGTTTGATCTCAAGCACCATCCAAAGAGCTTCTGCATTAGGATTGGGCAGTTTCCTCAGCACAGGAAGGGTTCCAAAGGTATGAGTAGCCTCGAGTTTCTTCGCCGGTCGCGTAATGTCTTGTTCGATCACATCTTGCGCAGAATTCAAGATTGACCCCGAGGAACGATAGTTTGATTCTAGCAGAACGACCGAGGTGTTGGAGTACCGTTTTTGCATCCGCCTCAAGTTCTGGATTTCTGCTGACCGAAACCCATAGATACTTTGATCGGGGTCACCGACGATGGTGATGCGCCGATTCTTAGAGGCAAACAGATTCATCAGATCATATTGGATGATGTTGGTGTCTTGAAACTCATCCACAAGCACTGTTTGCACATTCGAAACACACTCTGGATGCTCTCTGAGAAGATCGCCACAGCGCAGAAGCAGGTCGTCATAGTCAAGCAGATTCGCGGCCGCAAGCGCCTCATCGTAGGCGCGATAAATGTCAACGAGTTCCAGCTCCTCTGCTTTGGCACGCTCAGCCAATGCGCTCGGAGAGAGGCCATGAGCCTTGTGTTTGGAGATCCGCCCTTGAGCCGCTCTGATATCCATGCTGGAATTCAGACGCTTGATGATTCTCTGATCGAAAATTAGCGATTTCCCAATAGTCAAAGCTGAAAAAAAGACAAACTCACCCGAATAATAGCCCGAGTATCATCCGAATCCGCAATCCCAAATCCTTTGCGCAGCCCAATCAAATATCCATACTTGACCAGATACCGCCGACAAATTGAATGGAAGGTACCTAGAATCAACCGAGACTGCAATTTCTCCCCAATAAGCTTTCCCAAACGCTCACGCATCTCCCGACTAGCTTTGATAGTGAAAGTGCAGCATATGACATCTTGCGGTTGATAGCCATGGTGAGAAAGCAAGTACGCGACGCGTGCAGTGAGCGTTTTAGTTTTGCCCGAACCCGGAGGCGCAAGTACCTGGAGGATCGGGGCGGAGGAGGTAACCGCTTCACGTTGAGCGTGATTCAGACCATCAAGGATGGGATCCATGACATGCCGTTTGTTTTGAGGGATCGAAACCTCGGAGGGGATCGCTCAATTCGGACCGGTGGTTGGAGAACCCAGAGCGGCAGGTGAGACGCGCTGTGAACGCGGTGTCATGTGACATCACCTGCGAGGGCCCTCGAGGTATGCTTGGTGGGTAAATAGGATACTAGAGTTATCTGCGAGGGATGTATGGGATAAATTGATGCAATTCAGATAGTAAGTCGTATAGACAAAATTACTCCATTCAGACTAATGGGTCGCTGAGAGGAATTGTAGCTAGTCCCGTAGTGGGGTTGAGGTACCTTGTAGACAAGTACTGTAACTATGCACGATGTTTGAGCTAGAGAGTGTATAGAGCTTGGAAAATTAAAAGCATCGCTCCAGAGAGTACACTAGAAGTGGATTGACATTTAATCCAAGCAATATCTCTATACCCGACCTTTGTGCATATTGCAATCATAGATACCGACACGGAGATGGCCGAGTTGCTCTCGACGTATGGGGCTAAATCTAATCATCGAAGTAGGATAGACCACAGTCCACTAGCACATGGCACATTAATTGGCCAGATAATTCGGTCGGGCTATTCCTAAATCATATACAGGATAAAAACTCGTCAAGCCCTAGTTCCCATTTACTTTACCGTCCACCCAATAGAGGAAGGACACTACGACAATCTGTAAGCTATTATCGACCCCGCAACGAATCACAAGGAGTACAATTTCTTAGATCAGATACCCCTCTCACATGGCGTGTGCTGCAGGTCATGAGTCAATGGCGACGCTCTTATTGGGGGAATCGAATATCCATGACAGATTTGGAAGGATACCACCGTCGACTGCCTTGTGTCCAGGGAATGAAAATAGATTTTAGCTCCTAAGTATGTGATTACCTGGCGAATGAACGTCTAGGCTGTCAATCACGCCATCGACTCTCGACAAGATAGCCTACTAGCCTAGTCTCCTTCTTAAGCTAGCCTGGCCGGGGATATATGGGTTAAGTCCGGAGCAAACGTCGCCACTCTAGGCGATTGGCGAGGTGTACTGTATTCAATGTCTAAAAAACCAGGGATAATAATTGAAGGGTTAGGCGTAGTTTCTTTTTCTCTATACGAAGGGAAAGATGCCCGCTTCGTGGACATGTGCTTGATAAGGAACTGTCTGTTCGTGAGATCATGTAAAGAAATATGCGGCTGAGTGAGGTCATATGATTGATGGGCATATGGGAATGTTAGATCTGCCAGGTAGAACATAATCTCCATGTCTCTCTCTATTCTGATACACTTGATTCCTTCATACCCATCCTCCGTACTCTTTTGCCCTCATCGCCCTATTCTTCGTACCTGGACTGTACCAAGTCACAACAACCATTAGTGACAAGGCTAAGCCATTAGGCATCCCAAGTAACATTGCCTTCTAATTAAAATCCATGGCTTATCGCTTAGGAGAATCGAAGAGCCCAATTCCCGACTTTCCGGGGTTGGTTTGCCAGGTATGGCGGCCGATATCGGACACCGAGAGAACACGGACCTTATAACACGATTTTGATGGCAAGAAATCAAGAAACAAATACCAAGCAGTCAGTCTTCTAGTACTTTATTGCTTATTTTTCCGGCTTCGAAAGGAAATGTAACTTGTTGGGGATAAAATCGATGGATCGCATTGAAGTACCTAAAGAGGTAGCATATAGGGAGCTTTCCGGAAAGACATCTGGAAAGATGGTTGGAAGATACTTGTAACATACGTATTGAATGGAACTTGGGGCGCAGATAGCGGTTAATTATTTCGACTTCATTATGCCTTCTCCGCGGACGTCCGCGATTGCCTGTCATGGCCAGAGAAAGTCTTCGTCACTAGACTCACTACATACGACTCCATAACGGATCACATTTGCTCGATGTAGTAGAATATCCGAACGTAAGTTATACCCCGCGGGTATCGTCCATCAGCTGCGACTCGAAACACACGCGGCTCTTGAGAATGGTCAATATCTTGCGTCATCGGCAGAATGGCGCGAGATATGTAATATGCTGATGTGGTTTAGTTATGAGACAGAACCTTTGCGATGAATTCTGTTACGATGCCCTCAGACTTAATCAACGGCTCAAAAAACCAAATATGACTGAGCATTAATCCAGTCATTCATGGGTCAGATACTCCGTCTATCGTGAATCCAGGCCATTGGGGCCCACGGACCTGCCTTTTACGGTATAGATAAAATCACGCACATGATGTTAAGAGGATAACGGTGAACACGTTCTTGTGCTCATTAATATTCGCTCGCCGCTCGGGGTATGTCCAAAATAAATGTGTGGCTGCTATGCAGGGTAAAAAAAGAAAAGAAAAGAAAAACACAAGGCTAAGTCGCATCCATGTATGTACAATACAAAAATTAAAAAAAAAACAGAGCACTATCATCCAACACCCCTGGGTATCACATCACGCAAAGCACCCCGCAAATGTCCGCAACTAGAGTAACTTAGAACACACCTTCCAAGGATCGTGATCATGAAAGGATCAATCGGAAGTGAAGATGCCCAAGGGAATATTCATGGACACCTCGTAGTTAGGCACATTAACAATCTCAGTAATGTGCAAGTCTCCGGCAACGCTAGCCAAGATATACGCCTCGCTCTTGGAAAGGCCCTTTGTGTGAACGAGCCATTGGATGAGGCTGCGGGTAGCACTCTTCGCGGCCTCGAAGAGGTCTGGACCGACGCCGAGAGCACCATAGGTTCCAAGGTCCGGGAGGGGGTTGGGTATTTGAGCGCGCGGCGGGGTCTGATACTGGGGAGCGGTGACCCAGGGCTGGTTCTTGATGAGCTCGAAGCGGAGGGTTGCTTTGATGGGGGTTTCGATGGCGGTGCCGCAGACTTCGCCCTGGCCCTGGGCGGCGTGACCGTCACCACAGCTGAAGAGGGCACCGACAGTCTGGACGGGAAGGTAGACGGTTGAGCCAACGCTGAGCTCGCGGCAGTCCATGTTACCACCGGCGTGGGTTGGTGGTACGGTAGAAAGTTCTTCGTCGGTGGCCGGCGCGAGGCCCATGCAGCCTAGGAATGGTCGGAGCGGAATACGCATATCCTTGAACTGAGCGTAACCCTTCTCACGGTCGAGAGACCAGATCTTGATCTCGGGCTCAGTGAAATCCTCTGCCAGCAGACCGAAGCCGGGGATGATGGCGGACCATCCCCAGTCTGCGACTTCGAGGGCTAGAACCTCGACCTTGAGAACGTCGCCAGGCTGTGCATCTTGCACATAGATCGGACCGAAAACAGGATTGGCGATGCCGAGATCCAGCGTCGTGATAGCCGATGCGTCCGATGCGGTGTTGAGCTGGCCGTTGCTGCTGTCGATGGCATCAAAAGAGACCGTCTGACCGGAGGAGACGGTCAATTTGGGTGCAATCTTTCGAGACCATTTCACATGGCCGCAGTCTCGTCCGACGTGGAAGTTGTTCCAACTTCCGGATGCCATACTGGTCGTGGTTGATTTAGTATGAGTCAGTGTAGCAGTCATCGGGAGCGACGGCAGGTTGATGACTCTCGAATTGTTGGAAAGCGATATCGGACGCGAGAAGAGGAGCAAAGTGACGGAAGGGCGTATTTAAAGAAAATGGAACAGCAATAGCGAAGCGGAGGCCTGACCCAAGCACCACGAGACGAGACGAGATCCTCTTGGAGGTTGACCGTTAGGGAAGGTGGATAGAGTCGGATCTTCCAGGTTGAATAATGCTTGTTCTTGAAGGGATCTCCACCCCGGGAGCCGATTTCGTCGCCTGCCTAAAAGGGTTTGACAGAATTCCAAGGGACTGGGCCATCAAGAGCTTTCGTTGGAGCCTCTGGGGTTCATCTAGCGAGGGAATGTAGAGAGGTTCTGCAGGCGCAGGTTGGAGGGGCGGTCCACTCCGGCGGAACGAAGCGACCTTTCTTATCCGCCTGCTACATTGGTTGAGGTTCGGATGGGAACATCGTCATTGTGTCACCGTGGAGATAACCTTGTCGAGCGGGGAGGAAAGAGAGTTCCCGAAAGAAGAATGAGGGGCGAACCGGGCGGACTTGGGAATTTTTTGGGAATTACGGGATATACTTTTACTTTTTTGGTACGGGAGAACGTTTACCACTGAGAGGGCAGGAGGAGTACAAGTAAAACGAAGTAGTTTCTTTTGTATATATCTAGTGTAAGACTAGGAAGGTGTTAGAGGATCAGACCGAGAAGATGGAAAAGCCGAAGCCTGGTTTTGTCGAGAGGGCCTGAACGAATTAAAAAAAAGGCAACCTTATAGGGTGCATGAGAAGATCCAAGGTTGTGATACGAAACGCAACGCCACCGGAGCAGTCCTGAGAAAGGCAGGCCGTTTGGCCTTTTTGGGTCCGCTCTGGTGGGGTTGAACGCCGAGTTTGCAAACCTTTTTTCTTCTTTCTTTTTGCATTAGTTGCATTAGTTGCATGACCTAATCGATTTCTGTTTTTAAATATAGTTTGCATTTGGTAGACCTTTAGGTGGTTACCTAAATAGTTAACCAAACTAACTATAGACAAAAGAAGATGGAAGTTTGTTGATACAATTACACTCCCTTTAGATCCGCATGAAAACATGTTTGCTAAAAATACTGGAAAATGTGAAGACTCCGCCCTCGCAATTGCACACAACCACCTTCTTGTTCGGGGTAAGGCAGAGACCCTTGCAGTGGGACTGGGTGGACTTGGCCCGATTATGCAAAACACAACCGCAGTAGTGGGCCGATAGGCTTTCGGAAAGGCTGGACTTAGTGTTTACTAGTAGACGAGCTGCTTCAATAATATATGTTTTAGTAGTAATAAGTATATCTACTGGATCGACTCCGATACATCTCAATAAAGGCAAAGCAGTACACTTGTAAGTGACTTTACTTTATCCCTGTCTATAACAATGAGTGCCAGGCAAGGCTTCCGCTCTTGGTATTAGTCGTACCAAATTAACTGACCATGTCTAGCGAAAAAAATGTAGTCCTTCCCAAATAAAGTTCAATAATATTCCCGTCTTTTTAATTCAGCCTTCTACCTCCATCTTCTAGTCTAGCTATATGATCATCGCCTAGTTAGTACATACCATATCGCTTCCACCTCTTACAGTTCCCAATCACATCACGGGTTCCCTCCCCCCCCGGTCATCCCAGACTCTTCTTCTCTCCACTCTCCCAGCATCCATCGTAACATCACGAATGCTGCCCATCCAACATCACAACAACACACGAGGCATTATCACTCTTGGGACGACTAGCAATACTACTAGTCACCTCTTGTGCAATATCATTGGCTCGCATCCCCCGCATCGACAGCTTCATCACGTGCTGAATCAAGGCCGTGTCGTCGGTACGGTCGCTCACCCCATCCGATACGATAACGAGTAGGTACCGACAGGTTGGCTGCAGTGTGCGCCGTGAGGTGTAGGGATCGTTGGATAAGAAATCACCACGAACCGACGCCGATGACGACGAGGCGCGCCGTTCTCGAGGCATCGTGCTTTCATCCTCCACGGTGTTGACCGGGTTCTTGTACTGCAGGTCGCCCAGCGCGCGGGACATGTTCAGGGATCCTGTTCCATATCCCCCGTGAGTATCATTTCACTACCATAGGGATGTTTGTTCACCGGGGAAGCCGCTGGCCCCCTCCTTCACGGGCTCTCGGGCCCTCCCCTTTGGGGGCTGGTCTAGCAAGGGCCAATCTGCAACTCACCGAGCCGACTGATTCCGTTCCGTTTTTCCACGGTACCTCCAGCCTCTTTGATGCGAGCTCGCTCGCTAGGCACTTCGGGCTTATGTGCTTCTGTAAGTCGACGCTAAAGTTTGCCGATTAATGACCGTTCTGGTTTCCTCGGTTGTGCGTGACAAAACCATACAATGTGATAGGGATATTCCGTTTTGGGATCCCGCTCGGCCAAGATGACATGCGAGTCGCCTAGATTAGAGACTACCAGCTCCCCCGTGGTTAAGTTGATCAAACACACCGCCACTGTTGATCCGGATACCGCGGGCTCGACGGACTCGCGCATGAAATTATCCAGCAGCAGGCCATCCTCCTCGGCCAGTGCGGCCTTCATCGCGGCAGCATAGTCGCCTTGTTGGAGCTCGGGTCGTTGGGCAAGTATATTATGGAGGTTCTTACAGGCGTGATCTGCAACGACGCCGGAGCCACTGTTTAAGTCAGCATGTCTCCTTGTGGCTTTCGTTGAAGAAAACCGCTTACTGTCCATCGTATATTGCAAAGAATGCAATATTGTCATCCGTTTTTGCGGGGAAGTGTTCCGGCAGGACTATCTTGTACCGGTCCTCTTGGAATTTTCTACTTCCTTGAGCCTGTACCTCATGGTCAGCCTGCCACTTCGCAGAGGATTAATAGGGGGGTTGCTACTTGACCTGCTCCAACGTCGAAGATAACAAGCGCGTCCGATGTAGACATGAGCATATTGCGGAGCATCTGGTCTCTCAGAGCTCTGTGTGCGAGGACCATGTTGGAGCATAATCAAGCAGCTTTTGAGTTCAGTCCCAGCTGTCCACATATTTGCCCCAGATTCTGACGTCGCGTGCTGGTGATGGGGTCCTGACATCATTCGATATTCCCGTAGCTATGAGACACTTATGCTTGATAGAATTCGCCTATGTGAAAGTTTCTTGCGCATTCTTACTGGCCTTACGAATCTTAAAATCGCGGGAGAGCGTTGATTTCGCATACTTAGAAATATATGAGGCGCTAGCATACAGGCAAAGTCATATGTAGTGGATTGATTACCAGGAGAGATCAAATCCTAAATGCTTCAAATATATCTGTCTGCTGAATGTATTCAAAGTTTCCAAATACACCAAAACACTCTCCTAATTTAGGCCCAGCTGCATGCTTGATTAACTCAAATGTATAGATCTCGATCCCAAACCCGCACGGACCACCCGTCCAGCCTCGGGCGAATTTGTAAGTCGAGGCACAGTTAACTCGCTTTCGCCGCTCTCTATCCCCGCCGCTTCAACATCTCGACGTTCCTACGACATGGGCTGGCCAGGCGTGGGGAGTCTCGCTGCCACTGCGGGATATTTCTTCTCTCGCAGCCAACCTAACACTGACAAGAAGTCCCCGGATCCAACCTCCCCCACCCCGCCGGACTCCAGATCCGAGCCGCCTTCTCCTGCCGCCGATGAACATACTCCGGAGAGCCATGACGCTGACGTCTCGACATCTCCGCCCCTAGTTGATGAAGAGGATGGCTCTCAGAATACACCCAAGGCGTCGGCATCAAGTGCGCCACCACCAGTCCTTGCCGTCCCCACGTTGAGCCTGAATGATGACTCAAGCGACAACGACAATGCTACCGGCGTCGCGAGAGGCTCGTCAGGCCAGACGAGCGTGAACGGCTCAAAGACACCGCAGACAACACCCAACGATGCGCCTACTAAGACAAGGATGCAACCCCCATCTCTCGTGGCGACGTCGCCGCAACAGCCTACCAACACAACCAACACAACCACACCATCCCTCATGCCTCCACCCCCAATCCCACGCCCCCGACAAACCCCACAACCAAACAGAGCCCCTCCAACCCTCCAACCACCCCGATCAAGCGCCAGTTCCCTCCACACACCCCCATCCGCCGCCGGTCTCCGCGTGCCCCCCACCTCCAGCAGCAGCAGCAGCAGCAGCGGCAGCGGTCTCAGCAACAGCACCCTCGCCCCAACCGCAGTCAAGAAACAAGCATCCCGCAAAGTAGTCCTTGAACCAGGCTACTCACCCCTAGACTGGGCCGCGCGCGCCGCAAACCCAAACAACCAACTCCGCGGCGCGGGTCTACCCCCGGGACTGCTGCGGGTAACCCCGTCCATGCTGAAGACGCAGAATGGGCGCAAGGGCCGAGATGCTTGGACGTCGTATCAGGGCAAGGTTTATAATATCTCGCCGTATGCGCCGTATCATCCCGGTGGGAAGGGGGAGTTGCTGCGGGGTGCGGGGAAGGATTCGGCGCAGTTGTTTGCGGAGATTCATCCGTGGGTGAATTGGGATGGGATTTTGGGGGAGTGTTTGGTGGGGATTTTGGTTTCGGAGAATGATATTCAGGCGGAGAATGGGTTGGATGCGATGGATTGAGAGTTGTTTGTAGGTGTGATGCGACGTGGGTTTGGGTTGCCAGAACATAACTGGCTTCACATCTGAGGCTCGTGGGCATTGGGTCCTGTGTACATGACGAGCGAGGTGGAGGGGGTGGTTGTAAGATACATTTCTACACATACTAGACGAGAGATACCCCATTGTAATAGATTGGCGCATCTTTACTATGCGCCGTGAATTCCAAGACAGTTGCGAATTGCATCATTCCAATGATTTCGGGGTATATCATTTGAAAATAGGTGATAACCAATACATCATAACGCAGTATACACATCAACTCTACAGCTCATCCTTGTCAACGCCCTCGATAGCAACGAGCTCAGTCTCGAAGATCAGAGTTGCGCCACCGGGAATGGGACCAACGCCGCGGTCACCGTATCCGTACTCGGGGGGAATAGTCAGCGTGCGCTTCTCGCCAATGCACATGTCGAGGAGACCCTGGTCCCATCTACAGCGAAAAAGAGAATTAGCCAATTGACCCAGAGTAGCCCGAAAGCAAGCCTCGCAACCACAAGCGGAGACAGAAACAGAAACAGAGGGACGGGAAGGAAGGTAAATGGATACAATGCACCAGCGATACTTCGCGACACTTGTAGCCATTCTCAATCCCCCTTCACCCTTCACCTTCTCATCTCCCAGTTTCCACTGCAAAAAGAGCCAAACTCACCCCTTAATAACCCGACCAGTTCCCAACTTAAAGTTCAGCGGGACATTGCGCTTAAAGCTAGAGTCGAACTCCTTGCCGTCGGACTGGAGGGTACCGCGGTAGTGCATGGAGACGTTATCGCCGTTCTGGGTCTTGCGCGTGCACTCGACCTTGTGGGTGACTTCGATGCCCAGCTCGGCGGCGCAGGCGAGGGAGGCGAGGGAGAGGAAGAGGGTGGTGAGACGCATTGTGGTGGTTGCAGTTGTGGTTGTTGCGCGGATAGAGGGTTAGGCAGAAGAATTGGTTGTGGAGGATTAATTGAGGTGGTGGATGGAGGTGATGAGGACAGGTTGAGCAGAAGGAAGAGGGGAGAAGAGGGCAACGTGGTGGAGTGCGGAGGCGTTTGGCTCTGGGGGTTCCGCTGGTGTGGGTCTTACTGTACATTCTGTACTTGGAGACTTCCGGAATGGGTGTGCAGATGGAGGACTAGTTTCTATTTTGTTTGCAACGTGGCTTGTATTACCTGGTCTCTTTCCTTGATCTCAAACTAAGTTGCTATCGGAGAATTAGAATTAGCGATTATTGACTCCCAGTCAGTCAATGTAAGGTACCGAGGTCAAGTCTCCATCTTCCATCATCTTCAATGCCATCGCCTTCGCCAGACTCAAGCTCCCTTCGCAGCGGTGGCCTCAATCATAGTATCCGTGGGAATTCCTTCGTCCGCCTGAGCCTTGAGGTCATCCTCTCCCATAGCTCCATCCCATCCATGCGCCACAAGATAAGCCCGGAACTTCTCATCGCGCAGACGCAGATCCTCTCCAGAAAGATCCGGCACAAAGAACCAAGTCACCAGAACGCCGACCACTCCACAGATCGCAGCAATGATAAAAGTCCAGTTCTTCCCAAGATTATTGGAAATTGGCTGAAACGCTTGGGTTCCAATCGCTGCCCCGGCTTTTCCAACTGCAGCCGAAAGACCGTAGCATGTTCCACGCACGCCGGTGGCATAGGATTCTGAGGACAGTAGGCCGAGCATATTACCCGGACCAAAGTTGCCGGAGCTCTGCATGAGGCCGTAGAAGACGATGAAGAGCGGGATGATCTTGGTAATGCGGTCAAAGGCGCATCCGATGATGAGGCCGAAGATGAGGTATCCGCTGAAACCAATCATCATGATGTTCTTACGACCGACGCGGTCGCAAAGGAATGCGCCGAGGAAGACACCTGGGAGGGCAATTGCTCCGAGAAGGAGTTGCCATTCACCGGTCTGGAGAATAGTGCCATTGTGAACTACATTCGAGATGATTGTGCCCGAGAAGACGCCGTTGGGGAAGGTGACAAAGTCTATAGATCCATAATCAGTGATGAGTCGAATGCCAACACAGTATCCGTGTACATAGAAACTTACCGTAGAGGAACCAAGCACCACATGTTCCAATCAACGTCTTCCAGTAATACCGAATGACAAGCTTGTACGGAACATGTCGTTTGATTGCACCACGGCGGTACAGGGTGGAATTGAGCATGCGGATTCGAAAGTAGAACACGGAAAGCGGCCAAATACATCCAATTCCGAAGCACACTCGCCATACGGTGCTGTAGTGCGACTGCTGACAAGCCGAAAGCACGATCAAAAAGATGGACACTGCGAATGGTCCACCAAAAGACAGAGGGAAGTTGGTCACCATGATGAAAGCTGGACCTCGATGCTTGGGCGTTAGGTCGTTGGCAGACTCGGAGGCAGATGTCGACGATGCAGGATACTCGCCGCCAGCGCCTTCAAATGAAGTCAATATTTGGAACACTAGGAATAGAATGATGAGCATAGTCATACCAAACCCGACAATCCCACGAGCGACGGTCATCATCCAGAACATGCCGTCAATGGTGACACCGTGCGATGCGGTGGCCAAGATACCTCCAATGACGATCATGAGGGTGGTGAAAACGATGGCAATTTTTCGGCCAAGGTAGTCGCAGGTCAGACTAAATTCAAACCATGAGCGAAGGCCGACTGCTAGAGATTTTCAAGTGATTTAAAAGCTTACCCAACAACGACCTGACCGATAACTTCGCCCACGAGCAGCGCATTGGATACGCGCGTACTGACAGTCGTGGTATACTCTTTGGGGTATTCCTTCTTGAGAAGGACGTTGGTCATAGTCCTGTAGTGGCCAGCCCATGAGCGGGGTCATCGTAGCAAAAAGAGGGGGCCACACTCACATGAGGTTGTTTTGGTATCCATCACTGATAAGAGCGAAGCCACTGGCGAACTATACATTTCCCTCGGTAAGCTCTTGGTTAACAGAGATATTCTTCAAGGCTAGTCTTCACGGTCACTCACGATCGTAAACAGATCCGACAGACTCTGCCGCTTCTTCGAGACCTCGCGTGAGGGGTCGTCCACAACATCGACGCTATCGTGAACCTCGGCCGTGGAGGCATCAGCCTCTTCGGGGACGGCTGGGGCGTTTTCAATGGCCATGTCGAACTCGAAAGTGCGCTGTTCACTGGAAAGGCCTCGACCGAGAGAAAACAAGAGAGAGTTTAAGAGAAAGCAGAGTAAAACAACAAACCCTCGTGCTCGTACTGAGGAGGGAAGCACCCGTGCGCACGGGACTCTGCCAGGGTCTCAGGGACCAGCCCTACAGACGGAATTTGGTTAAGCGCCGCCATGGCGTTCGCCCCCAAACTTGGCTTTCCCGTCATCCCGTAGAACAAACCGATTCGCCAATTTTTTTTTGGCTTCGCATTCCAGTGTCAACCACATGGTCCACCACATGGTTGATATGTCCGAATTGATTGGCGTTGTGTGGGGAATGTGGTGGATGAGAAGGATCCACCGAGTAGTTCAGACCAGGCAGTTGTGAGGATTTCAATGGAATCGATGAGCACGTGAGCACGATTTGATCCTTCGAGAATGGTGTTTAGATTTGATTGGAAGCTAATTACATCAATCCAGGACATGAAGCTCGGGTTTGAAACCCCGACAATAAAAGCAGAAGACATAACACCAGTAACTCCTTCCAGAACCAAAACTAACGCCGAGTATGTGTGCGCCTGCGCTAGTGAAAGCTGCACGCTGGAAGCAAGGTTTGCCCCGTGGGTATCAAATGCATGTACAGATGACCAGGGATCACTTCAGACAGTAGAAGTAGAGAATCCCGCACTTTTGGACTTGTAAAAAATGGAAACAGCGAAATGAGAAAGAGGTCATCGGAAATCAACCGAGGTCGTAACAAGAAGAGGAGGTTGTCGTAAAGTTAGGCCCATTTGCCCAGCAGAGCCATCAAGGCAGCGCCCATACACAGCAGGGTGAACGCGGCCAGCACCTGGCGGATAGGAGCTTTGCGCATGGAGCTGCTGAACATGAACTCGTGCGCCATCAGCTCGACTAGTGCGGTGTAGATGAGAATGCCGGCAGAGATGGAGTCGAACACGCCGTTGACAATGAGCGTGGTTCGTCCCGTCGGCGGGTAGCTGTTGCGGACACCTAGACCGATAGCAATGGCAATTGGGGTCGAGATACCAAAGGCCAGTCCCAGGAAGTAAGGTGTGAGACGCTTGGATTTGGGCCAAGGAATGAGAGCCAGTCGGGAGCCTAGACCCAGGCCTTCGAAGGTCTGATGGAAGACCAGGACGATGTACAGAGTGGTAAACTCGGCACCGGACACAGCCAGGGTGAGACCGATGAAAACGGAATGGAAGATGATGCCAAACTCCAGAATGAAGATGGAGGTCAACTGGGCCGCATAGTCCTCACTCACGCCGGCATCTTTCTCAGAGTCGTCAGAATCATGGTGCTCGCGGGAGTGGCCCAGGTGGTCTTCACCGGGCATGTGGTGACTCTTGCTGGGATGCAGTTCCTCGACCATGGGCTCGGCGGTGCCGATGTGAGAGTGGGCCTGTCCTTCCTCGTCGTGGGAGTGGCCGTGACCAGAGCCAAAGTGGGAGAATCGCATGACCATCAGCTCGACAAAGAACAGAACGATGATGGTCATCAGGATGATACCCTCAACCCAGCTGTATTCGGTGATGGGGCCAGTCAAACAAGAGTTGGTGAGGGCCTCCTCCGCGGGAGCAAGAAGGTGGATGAAAGCAGTTGCGATGATGACACCTGATCCAAAGTACTTTGCGATGAAGAATGCCCATCCAGGCACTCCACCTTTCCCACCAAACTGCCGAGCAAAGACGGGGAAAATAGCACCGAACATGGATCCAACCATAATGACGAAGATGGAGGAAATGCGGAGACCGATGCGGCCATCAAACTCATTACCGGGATCACAAGGGTCGGCGGCGCGCTTCAGGAGCGCATTCACGGGGTCCATCTCCATGGTGAATGTGAGTACCGGGTTCTCTGTGTATCAAAGAATCGAAAAGGTGAAGTGGCTTTGCAGTGGATAGACCGATCTGAAGGTCAACGGCAATCGCACTTTCGAATGCCGGGCGGCAAATGATCAGATCAGGTTGAGGGAGAGTTGTAAACACTTGTGGTGAATAGGAGAGATGAGGAGAAGATTTGACAGGTTGACCGTGGAGGGGGTTTTCCAAGACAGACTACCAATCTTGTGTGGGTGCTTCGCAGTAATGGCCGACACCCCCAAGGTCCTCGATGTTGGCGAAACGGTCCAATGGCTAGCGGCGAGACAACCAGGTTGGCCTGTCAAGATCAAACCCTAACGCAGCGCTACTGCCTCCGTCAATTAGGCGCGATACGCACGAAATAATGCGATTGAAGGTCCCTTGGCAATGCACACCGCACGGCTCAGAATGTAGCAGAGACTTGTCCGTTATCTGCGTCGGAGAGGCGGGATGGAGGATAGGGTGGTTTCCCGAAAGCGTCTAGTACCAAGATGCGGTAGTACCAGGGAAAGAAGGTATGGAATCACCAATCCACCGCCCTCTAGAAAGACAAAAAGAGGTATACTGATCTCGAGTCTCACGATTGACAGAAGGAGGGTTTGAAACCAGTACTGACCCCCCATCAAACTCTGCGGAAATCGTAGCCGGAGTTCCCAGCGGCGGGGGGGGATCCATGAGGACCTTGTTGGCCTCGAAGACGTCAAAAGATAGAACTTTGCACGGAGTACCCGGTACTTCTGATCACATATTAGTCATAGTGCAACTAGAGGTACCGGGTACTTCCGGTGTGTTCCAGCCTTCTACCAAGTGAGGACCTTGGGGACGGTCAGTCTTTTCCGATCGCGGTGGTTGGCCCCCGGTCACGTGGAATACAATCGAGCACTTACTAGCCAAGGCCATGACGGAATGACTAGAGGTACACTTGGAAGAGCATCAAATGGTCATTGACGATGAACGCTAACATGGACGAGAAAGAAACAAAGTTGTTCCAGCAGAATTCTTTGAGTACAGGGATGGTGATGACAGAGGCGTGACCTTTCGCCAATCACAGGATCTGCCGGGCGGGGAGCTTCCAGGCAGTCAGGCACTGACTTGATGAGCTTCCAGCTTGCTACCGATCTCTTGGAGTGCATCTCACACATACATTCAACACATACAGCATGGCCCCTATCCGTCGTTACTTGCGTATAAGCAAATACTCGGTGCTGGAGTGCCGCATTTACCTGGACAATCCATCCGACTCGCGATGGCTCTTGAATCCACGCGATCCGGTTCTCCAACGCGTCTTCGCTGCGATTCGACCGTTAGTCCTGCCCAAGTTGCGGGAGGAGAATGAAAGGCTATGGTCGCGCAAGAAGGGCAAGCCCGTGAAGGATGTTATTGCTGAAGGTAATGAAGCTCCTGTCACTGGTATTCTCAAGCTGCGACTAATGTCATCTTACTCCCGCAGATGAATTCGAAGTAGCCATCTTCCTCCGCGAGTCGCGAACCCGTCATGCTTTGTTGACCCGCAACAAGACTTTCCACGAGCTGGATAGCAAGAAGAACCAAAAGTTGAAAGCAGAGTCCGGGGAAGATTTGACGGAAGACTCAGCGGGCCCAGCCCAGTCTGTCAGGGCAGAGGTTATTCTCGATAGTGACGACAGCGAGGCTGAGGTCGATTTGCGCAATATTCCCGAAACAACAGGAGAGGACAATGATCCAGAAACTGTCACATTATCGGAAATTGGGGCAGAGGCTCAAACCGGAGAGGAGGCTGCAGGAGATGAGAAGAAGATGCGCTTCAGCACCCATTACGAAAGCTTCAACATTACAGGATGGGTGCTTTGCTTGCTCATCACTCGCAAAGGGGACCGGGCTCAGGGTCGCACAGCTACATCAGAACCGAAACAGCCTCTTATGGAGGAATGGATTTCCACCCAGGCCCAGACAGGTCTGGGCGAGGACTGAAGGGTAGAGCAACGGCCCTGCCAGTCTTGTTGCCTGACAGCAGACCTGAAACACTCATGCTACAGTACAACCTGATGCTACCCCTCTCGTGTGGCTGAAGATAAGCTGCAAGGTTCAAGCCTCGTCTCCGCCTTGGAAGGCGGGTAGCCGTAGTGGCGTGACCTGTCGCAAGGTGTTCCCTGTGATACATACCTAAATTGCAGAGTTGCAGAACTGCAGACATGCCGGGCTTCCTGGATATGACAAGTACTCGTACAGAGACAGTTTCTTATGGCTGCCTTCGTCACTGGACACCTGTCACGAGGATATCTCCGCCCTGCATACAAGAGCCATGTTGCCTATTCCCGAATCGGCTGCTGCAGCGTGCAGTGTACCTTCAAGATATGCGCATCTATGAGAAGAACGGATGGCCACGGATGCAATGATTAGGACCCCTGGTATTCGTTACGCAGGTGGCGGTCACTCCAGTTGGAGTCTGGCCTGGTCTCGTACCGCCAGCTTCCTAGAACCGCTAGGATTAGAATTTTGGCAGGGGACGGCTAGATATTTGAGTTGCCTACGCCGTGGCTGATCTCAAGGTGCATGGCTATCGGGAGACGCCATTTCCGAATTGAGCCCGATCGTTCCATGTCTCGGTTGAGTTCATGATAGACAAAATTACTCTTGCAGAGTGGAAGAAGATGGATATCAGAGAGCTCTCGGCTTCGTGCACCATGGCGATTACTCTCCTGATCATCTCCAAGGCATCACAGTCCCACCCAGCCTCAACTCTTCAGCGCACAGCAGGACTCTGGCGGAGCTTCATGTGGCTTTGCTCTGGCGGGGCCTCGGTTCGCCGTTTGTTTCCAGAAAACCACGTCGAACGCGGACCCACGCCGTGAAACAGCCCGTCTCCTCCACCACCTCCCGTGACCTTCCCCATAACCCCATTGGCGGTCAACACCTTCCCGAATCCCGTGCAAGACTGAATTTTTCTTTTGGTTGATCTAGTTACATACTCAGTTAGGGAACTGATTAGGTTGTCTTGAGATTAGCTTACTTATTGGCTTGATTTTCTCCGTACTCCCGTCTCCGTACTTGCCGACCCAGTCTGCTGGGAAACCGGGAAAGCATCCTAGCCAGTCGGATAGAGATTAAGATGGTAACGTGAGCTAGCGAATAGACTATCTTTTAGGAATTGCGTAATTATCTATCCAGGCTTGAATATTCAATACTGTCCTACAGAGGAAGGAGTCGTGTCATGTAGGGTCTTTGTATAAAATATACGACGATATACTATGTAGACTACTCGGATTCGACGGTACTACTGTAAACCCAGCTACCTGTCTACCTGAATCACCAATTAAACTATCAAACGAATGTCAAACCGCATTTGCAAACTCCTATATTTATCTAGGAGAATCATGAATTGAAGGGTAACCACGAACCTTGGAACCAGCTCAACGAACCTCCCAATCAAGCAAAAGTCAACCCCTTTTGCCACGTGCTGGCGGGGCCGAACCCAAACAGGCAATTCGCCGTTGATCCTCGTTCCTGAATCGCTAAAAAATCCAAATACAGTAATCCTCAGAGAGTTATCGGTTATGCGCACCAGAGTAGAATACAACCTAGAACTACTTCACGATACTCAGCAGTACAGTAGTAGCGAACTAGATACATAATACAGAGACCAATCACTACACCTCGCTGAAAAACCTTTGAACTTCCGTAATCGCACACTCTCCTTTTTCCCGAGGCCTCCACTCCCATTTCCAACGGCGCGGAACGGCGGCCGGTGCACCCCCATTATTCTTCAGTGGAGTCTTGCACCGCCCTATTCCCCATCGGACTCTCGTTTATTGAAGTTTCTGACCTCTTAGCGTAGCAGGAATCCCACTGACCTTTCAAATTTCGGGGAGGAAAAACCCATTCTTATTCATTGTTTCTCTTTTCCCCCTTTTGCGTCTAATTTGTCCCACATTGATGGAGTACATTCGCCACTGGTTTGTTTCCTGGGCCTCTTTGAACTCCACAACTCCTGGCTCCAGTCCAGTAGCAGTACACTGACTACAGTAACTTTTGGATTGTGGGAACCGCTAGAGCCGCGAACTTTATCCGGCTGCCAGGTACAGGCACACCAGGCACCGAGGCATCTCCACCAGGAACAGGAACAGGAATAGGCACAAACGGACTGTATGGAGAAGATGGAGAAGCTATGGAGTATACTTGGCATCCTTTGACGAATCCTACCACTCTGATCTGCTCTTTTTGATTTTCTCAAATCCCGGTCGCACGGACAAGACCGATGTCCATTGTGCCCACCATCTTGCCGTATAGGGCTGTGGTCATTCGCACACATTTGCGATTTGGTCCCGTCAACCACTTGGCTGGGTTATTTGCCTTTTTGCCTTGCTTTGGTCAGGATTACGTGGAATTGTAGCAGGAAGAGCGGCATAGGGTAGTAGTACTCCGTAAACCTGGAGAAGATATCCAAGGATGGAGCAGACTAAGTAACTTGAATTTGGTCCAAAAAACAGGGCAAGACGTTACAACGTATGCTTAATTTCGGAGTTGCGGAGATCCAACTTCCGGGGCATGCCGGAGAATTGATTATTGTACACACTACTGTCAGTTGGAGAGATGGGCTCTCCAATTTGGAGATTGCTGCAGTAGTGTCTGCTACTACGGAGTTTACACTCCGACTATACAGGACGGAGTACACTTAGCAAGAATGCATACGCATCATCTCCGTTTGTACCGCGATGCTATTGAAGATAGTACTACGGAGTCGATATCCATTACTTGAATCGCTTCAATCAGCGATCGGATGCCGAGCACGCAATCAACGCCACACGGGCAGCGCAGCGTCGCCTCGGGATAGTAGTGTAGGATGTATGGCGTAGTTTTGGTAGATCTTCTCTTTGAAACAACCCTGGCCCAGTGATGTGCGGGATCAACCCTGGGGAGCAGGGGGGTTTCGGCTGCGCGATGAACGAGTGGCATTGCATGTCTGTACACCTGCATGATGCATGCTGCATGTCCATTTGATGAAGAAGAGGGGCAAGGGCAATCTATGCACCATGCACGCTTGGCCTGTCCTACCCGCTGTATGTTTAATTGAGGATATGCAGTGGACGGAGTAGTTTATCCGTCCTTACGCTTGTTCGGACAGGTACATTAGCGACGGATGTCTACAAGAGAAAGAAGATAGATGATTACGGAGCAATGTAAGCCATGAGATTACCGGACTGATGGATGTTTCCTATTAGTATCATGTTGATAAGTGTAGGTATGGGATGACCGTCAGCTTAGAAACCGTGGCATCATCAGCGACAGCCTTGGCCAAGCTCCGGAGGTGAATCGGCTGTGTTCTCCGTTAGCGGGCGACGACTTAAAATTGGGTTCCGCATTGGCTCAATGGCTAGGGCTTTTCTAATCCTGCACTACGGCGGTACTAAAGCACGACAAAACAACATGTAATCATTTATGATTACTATTCAAATTCCGATTCCCTTACTGTACGAGATATCTTCCCTCCTTTCTATTCGTAACCCTACCGATAAGCATTGCGAAATTCCACGGGAGAGACGGGAGCGACAGCCCTTCGCTTCGACCGGACTCAAGAATAGCTTCACCACTAGATCTTGGCCGTTCTTTGACTAGATAATCGTCCGCATTCTATTTGCTGGTTATTTTGAATCAACACCACGGGTATTAACCACGGTCGGTGATGGGTCCGGCGTCGACGGTGAGACTGTCAACCCTGGGCTTGATTAGATTTTTTTTAGCCTCTTTCATTGGAGTGGTGTTTCTTTTCAAGTTGTAAGGAGAACAAGAAAATTCGCCTCCCCCTGAGACAACAGTCGGCCGTAACCTGCTACCTGTACCTGTAAGTACTCCGTACAGTAATCCCCATCCCCCACCTACCCCCGGACGTAGACCGTTATCTGAGCCACGACGACCAAGAAAAAAAAATAAAAAGGGTTAAAATAAACGAAAGAGACACGATTTGCAAATCAGCATTGTTGACGTGTCAAATAATCAAGGATAAACACCATGAATTTCCTTTTTCCTTGTCCCCTTTGGTTCACCCATCGGTCCGAGAGTCAACCTGTACAGACGAATCATCGTTGGAAGCCGAGTCCCTGCGCCACAGAGAGCTTTATCCTGATCCTCATCGATGTTGGATGCCTGAACCTTGGCATGGGAGGAAATCCGGTAGTATAGGCAATACGAATCGGTGAAAACCCGGGTCTAACTCGACATTTTTACTCCGTAGGGATTTTCCAATAACGGTAACAGTAGTAGGACTGTAGTAACAAATAATTCAAAATTATTTCTCTGGCGCTTGGATTATTTCTTTGCTTCTTTTTTTCCCCCTGCGATCGACACGCTAGCACGTGTCGCTTATCCTGACTGGCTGGACCCTATCTTTTTTATTTTTTTTGCCTCTTCGGCCCCCCTCGATGGTTGTCGTTGAGTCATGGATATTTTATTGGGGACAAAGGGAAGTTTATGTACAAAGTACTTGCTTCGTATACTTTGTGGATATAACGCTTAGACCTGTGCTTAGACTCCTACGCACAACGTATTTATTCAAATATCTCTTTGACTAGGGTGTGCATGGCTTAGCTTGACAGGCCATAAAAAAAACCAATGACGAAAAAAAAAATCAGACTTGGTTCCTCCGCTCACCGCATAAGGAACCGTCTTGATGGAGACTTGGTGGGGCCACGGGAGATTGCCCATTCCCAGTTGTCACCTCGCGTGGTTTCATGATAATTTGGCTGGTGAACTCCTTCGTGTTACTGTAGAGGAGAATCGTTGGTAAACTGAGATAAGTAGATCGTGTAGGGTGTACAGAATGTAGTAATTTAGGTATTTATAAAGAGACGATGGAAAGATTATGTGGTTTCGAGGGGTGTCTCAGGCCAAATTATTTCTGGATTATTCTAGGGATTGTAATTGCACGTTCTAATTAAGAATCAATCATTAAAATTATGACCCAGTAGTGATCCAAT